CCGCCACAGCAGAAACCGAGGCATAGAGGAAGGCCGAGTAGAGTGGTTAGTTGACTTCTGACAAACTCTTTCTCGTTTCGCCCGTAAGTAATCGCCAGACGTTAAATCTATAATCCATTCAAATAATAGATGTGTCAGTATATGGACATACCGCCTCTTGAGCAAAACCAGCGTTCTTTCCAAACTTACTGACGAATGCATTGTTTAAACATACGTTCTTGCAATTTTGCCTAAGAAAACATTTCGTTAATTAGTAGGGGCAAAATAAAAACACCTTAGACCTATACTGGAACTGGAAGTTACACACTGTCGCCAGAAGCAGACTAATTGAAGAATAGTTTTGTGTAAGCTACAAATATTTCATTCTCGTTTTTTCAAAATATATATATGCGTCACACCTCATTTAGTTTATATTTGTCGCAGCCGTTTAATAAATGCGAGGAATCTGAATTTTTAGTAACGGCGCGGTGCCTGAGAGACAACGGGATTTTAAAAAGGGAATTCATGTACCTGATGGCTGCCTGTGTTCTGAAAGCAACGCGTACCTCGCAGCTTTTCTGGAAATGTCAAGCCTAGATTTAAAATCCATCCTCCTCTTCGAATTTTAAATACAGTTGGTATTTATTATAAACCTTTAAGCACTATACAAGTGTACTTAAGTATAACGCAAGTGATTATTTTCTCCGATCACTTGCAGACAGCAAATATAAAACGTGAGATGACATTAAGCGGTTTTTTATGAACCCTTTTCAAATCAAAATTTTCCTGGGGTACGATGTGTGTGTCTATGTATGACGGAGGTGAATCACTTTGACGAACACTAGCGTTGCATATCACCCAGACTTGACGCTTGTGCGTATGCTGAGCCTTTAGTAAGAACATAACATTCAACATATCCCTTCCGTGACATTTTGTGAAAGTTTTAACATCTGGATTTGATGAAAGCTGATAAATGCTCATTATCATATGCACTTAAATCATCTAAAAATATCATGCTGCACCTCGTACTTGGACTCATATCTTTTAAAATAACAGTTCTCATGGCCAATGATTGCATCGGCACGGAAACTGGTGCTGGTGGAGAGAGACACAAGCGAGGTTGCGCCCACTGACTTCTCTCATTTTCTTCAGGGAGTGTGTTGCTAGTTGTCTAATCCATGATCACACATATTATGCGGAGGCTCCAAGCAGCTCAGAGGCGTTAAAAGAGCAGGTTTATGAGTCATTAATTAACGCTTGTAATCTGATATGAATTTAAGCGTTTTATACTCGAAATGTGTAACCTTATATATTACAATCAGCCAGCAGGGTCATCGCTTATCTAATAAGTCATTTTGAGCAAACAATCGTCTACCCAAAAATACCGCACGTAAGACACTACAATTTTAAATTTCGATCCGAATCCCTATCATTTATATTTTTCAAATACGGTAAACAAGACAGCTAAGGTTTACGTATTTTGCTATTTATTTTCCCTAGACGTTTGAAAAAAATGTGCGATCGTGATTGAATATTTTGGTACATGGGTTACAGCTCTTATAATCATAAACAATTGTTATTTTGCCAAATCCCAAGATTTTCTGAGGTTGTTTTCTTGATCCAACGGGAAGTCAAGGAATCCCTCTACCATATTCAAATTTAGAATTTAGAGATTTATAGGAATATGAATTATTTCTCACTAAATCGCCTGATATATTCGTTGCCATTGGTAACAAAAATTAGGAAAAAGCGATAAAACAAACTCGTTTCAAATGGATTGTGATCTATGTTTATTTCGAATAACCCACCGTTCGACTTAGCAACGTATTACAAGTTGGTGTCGAACTCAAATAAGTTAGGTAGAAATTTTTGCGGTCACCTGACTATCTAGCGCGAAAACAAACGAAATGAAAATTTGCATTCAGTTCACGCAAATATCTCACAACCTTTAACAGTATTCATATCTAGAAGGGTGTTATGAAATATCGACTATGAAGAAAATAGTCATCTAAAATTATTACGAAAATATAATTTTATGAATTCAACGAAAAGAATTTGGCCATTTTAACTGAATAAACGTGGACTGGGTGATAAGAAACTTTGTCTTTCAGATTTTGTTCATTGTGATTTGTTCCACAGAATTTCGCCTATGGTAATCGCCAGGGTATTAAGTATTTGTGATTACCGCGGCTTCGTAAACTGTTTGCATGAGCTTAAGCTTTAAGGTCGACCTGAGCGTAGGCATCGTTGCTGCTTTCACAAGTAGAAATACTTATTTGCGTCTCATATGATCAGTAAATGTGTGTTCCGAATCTGATCCGAGCCATCAGACGCATACGATTTTATTGCCACAGGGTACGCTGCTTTAGAACACGATACGGAAATACGGAGAGTTGGAGTTGGCTTAGTTGACAGACAAATCATATTTCTGTGCCAAAATTCATCATGCCACTGCGCCTATTTTAATTAACTTCAGGCATTTCGGCCAACTCATAACTATTTATTTGAGACTCAGACATGTCATAAATAGACTAAATAAGACTTGTTCAACATCAAAATGTTAAAAGGGAAAAAAATTGGAACTATTGGTGATCAAAAATTGACCAAAATGTCATGATATGGTTCTTGTCAAAACGGATAACTTTAGAATGTTTCCCACATTCCCAAATTTATCCAGGAGTGCGAAATTCATACTGGTAGTAAAATTAATAACTACACAACCTCTCTTCTACGATGGAGTTTAGATTTCTTTAGAAATCCAGACTTATTTAGTATACAGTATGCAATTATTCCTCGTTACAAGTTTTGAAACGGTACGACTTCTGTTTTAAGCTCTCATTCAAACAAGGATATCATTCTATTTTTGGAACATTTTTAACTGGGAAAGCTTCTAACAAAGTGCAATTTTCAACTAGCATTGTTAATGCAGGTCTATTACTAACGCCTCTGAGATACATATAATGCTACATTAACAGTTTAAATATTTGTTGAACTACGCAGCACATTCTCGATGGCCTCTATAAATTCTTGTATGTATTTTCTGTAATAGGGAAGTGTAAGACGTGTCATCCTTTAATCTCAAAAGCATGTGCAACAATAGACGGGGTTTCACTTTACTCAAAACGCGGTTAGCGTTTGTAAGAACAGAAAATGGTCTTTCTGTGTTTGTAATTTATAGTACACGTAAATCTTTACAATAATTGGGGTGAAATGTTGATATAACATGAAATGTTTGAAGCCACTGAATAGCACGAGAAAAACGCCGTCAAGATCAAGAATATAGATGAGTAGGCCGCGAACTATTTAGTGAGGTTTTCTAAATTTAACCTTATAGGTGAAAGATCGAGTAAATTGAAAAGATTCATAATTAGGTTTATTAATATTTTTGACAGTCAGTTCCGATTGCATATAACCTGACTACTGATGGTTTTTTTAGTAAGGCGCTGTCATAAATAAATGTACGGGATCATACCAAATGTTTAAATGCTAATCATCGAACTTAAAACCCAGCATTTCTCTTGTTTGTGGATTTCTATTTGGTGATTTTTAGATAATGCCCAACTGAGCGCTGTTGACATTTTTGTTTACCTGGAGATCTAGGAAATGTTTGCTATTTGCGCATTAACCACCATCGTCTTGCGGTTATGCAAAGAATTCTTTAACAAAAACCATTCTGCAAGGTTCTTTGCCGATTTCGGATTTATCTCCGCTTTCACGGATCACATTGCCGGCGATATCTTCATCCTTCATTGCGGCTCTGAGGAAACCGAAATCCGGAGTTTAACAAAGCATCCAGTCGGTCTAGTTCAGATACGTACGAATACCGGCGCCATCGTACTGAATTATACTGAATCTATAACCGAAGCAAAATTAACCCTTCAGTTGAAGAGGAGTAATTGGTTGATAAAGCAAGCGTATACTCGACTGCCTTTTTTGATTCTCGCTGGAATGTGTCACCGCAAACAACCGCAGATGAACGATAAGGCAATCGTTCCTGAAATTTCCTCTACAGGGGAAAGTTTTTGTCTTTTTGACCTGTGCGATCATCGTCGGGCAGTCTCGATACTCAGGAATAGGAGGGAGTATCCAAAAAATGAGGTTTCTTTACTCAAACATTTAAGTTAAGCTAACATCTTAAAAACCTCAGTTCCCTTCAAAATAATGTTCATGAGATCTGTGCGTTTGTTGGAAAGAGTTTCACACTGTCCAAAACATTTTCATTTTCTTCGGAAATAATGCTTTGAAGTACCTCCGTCATTTTTTATTGATTTTTCTGAGAGCGTGTTTTAAGCTTTACCTTCAATTTTGAGAATAATAAGTTGCGAAAGGGGCTAGATCAGGTAGGTAAGAGGGGTGAAAAACCGTTGTCCTGCCTTGCTTCGCTGGATGGACCAGTGCGTCGTCAGGATTAAGCAGCCACTCCTCCGAGCACCCCAATTCAGGTCATTTTTTTCTCGATGCCTCGCAACACTTTTAACTCTAATATCGGTTTTCCATAGCACTACGAGAAAAAAACTCGATTTTAGCGACTTCTTGGATGCCAAAAAGCCACGGCGTTGAAAAAAATTGGTTATGGCGCTTTGTCGCTTGAAATTAATCGAAGCAGCAGCGCCAAAAGCGTTCGGATTGTGTTAAATAAAACTATCAATTCGCCAGCTGTGATGATTTTTCACAAACATAACTTGGTCAACCGAGCAGGAAGAGGGTCTACTAAACGCGCTGCCAACTCATATGCCTGCAGAAAAAATTATTTTGTTTGGGTACCCTCTCGCATTGTAAAATGTAGAAATAAATGGCCAGGTAAGGGACATCTACACCACGTGTCTTGCAGTCTTCATAGCAAGGAAATCTTTAAGTCGAACACGGGTGCATAAATCCCATCGAGCATTTTTAAGCAGTAAAACCTCCTTAAAGGGGAATTTGGTAGGCCAGAAAATTATATTCCTGCCGTATATTTGTAAAACTTATTGCGTAACGAAATGCATAAAACTGGTGAATTGTCAAAAGGGCATGCTTATCCGATGGATGTGGATTTAATTAATTCCGTGAGTTTATCAAATATGCACTGTGCTGCGATTAAGAATAATGTGCACACTACGCCAAGCCTTAATTTTTCCTCAGTTTCGCTGTTTGACAAATCCGAAGATATTCCAACTCAGGGACTTACGCTCATGCGGACTAGGAATGATATCAGCAGCACTACTGAGAACAGACAATTGACTCTATTTCCGGGGCCCTAAAGTGTAATTTTGTGAGTATTAAATCGGACGGTTTGTTTCGGTAGTGCTTCATTATGATCATTTGCATTCGGAAAGTATTATATATAGGCGGGTGTAATTCCCCTTGAGCGTTGCATTTACCCGACCACAAAGCGGCAGAATAAGAAATAATCGATATCCCAAACTTAGACACCCGCTGACTGCTGCTGGGCTCAGACAAGCTAGATTAAACCCAACAATACCGACAGAAATATGTGCTTATGCCAAATATCGTAGCACTTTCCATACACGTCTAAATTTACAAAAACCAAAATACAGGGAATGCGCAATTCCTGCAGCGTAGATTTCCGTCCTCATAGATGAGCATTATCATTAGTCTATGCAGAAATTTGCTTGTAATGATGAGTGACTGCCGCGCATTTTTCCTAACCCCTACTTCCGACTCCCACTTTCCAATGGCATGACAATGTTACGGGAAGGCAGGTGAGTGACCTGCGCATGTAACGGCCGTTGTGCGTGCCCGCGTCCACCTCCGGTCATCTCAAAATGATCTTGCTAGTGGAGCATAGTGGATGAAAAGAGAGTGTAGTGGATGTTGTGTAAGCCCGCCTTACTATAAACTAATCCGTGGGCAAGTCGGCGGCGCAGAGACCACGAACCCATGGGACACGCAGCGGACGTCGTCGGCTGTGATGGTCGGAACGTCATACATCGAAGAGTCTTTGCACCTTACTCAAGGGGCAATACCTTGAAGAATAAGAAGTGCAGTGCGTGACCGATCTCATGAAATGTTGGCCGAAATTCTGGAATGCGTTCTCAATTTGGAAGTTTATCTTATGTGGGGTTGAAAGATTGATTAGCATGCAGCGTAATGCAATAGCATTTTAAACTCATCGGGATGTCGACTTTTGGATGCACTACATTTTGACCTCTTGCAGAAAGAGTATCCGGTACAAAATGACTACTTATCTGTCAGGCATTTTTCCAATTGATTTTCGATGGTCATATAAATTCGAAAATATTATATCAAAAGCATACACACAACATGCTCTCTTTTACTTATTTGGAGAAAAATCAAATTTTCTTCATATTTCGCATCCGCAGAATTTGTACATTCAGGTTTTAAAAAAGTTACCAATTATGAGATGTTTGAGACCATGCGATGACCATACGTGCACGACCGCACACGTCCGTTTACCATTGCTCTTCATGATATGTATAACGTAGTACGCATTCATTGCAAGAATGTATAAACTCTTTAGGGCACTTTCTTGATATCAAAGAGGAATATGCTATTTCTCTTACGCGGAAAGCATACATCTTGTTGACTGGAGTCGCTATACGCTAACAGTATGGCAGATCAGGCTCGAAATTATTCGGGAATTAGGAGGCCTTTTTGAGAAATACGAAGACAATTTGATTTTCTACAAATAAGTAAAAGAAAGCGTGCGTGTGCATGCTTTTTATAGAAAATATTTGAATTTAAAAAACCATTGGAAATCAATTGGAGAAATGCATGCCATATATGTCGTCCTTTTTTACCGGATACTCTTTCTGCAAGAGGTCGAAAAGTAGAGCATCCAAAGGTCTACATCCTGAGGAGTCCACAATGCTATTATTTCGCCTCATGCTGATCAATCTTACGACTCCACTTTAGTAATACTTTCTAATCGAGAACGCGTTCCAGAATTTCGGCCAAGATTTTATAAGTTCGGTCACGCACTGTAATAGTCGTATACATCCCAGTGCGGGTGGGGGGTGCCACGGTTTAATGCCCAGCTAGGATTCTTCCGCGCCACGGCTTTCAACGCAATTTAATATAACTTTGAAGCAAATAAAAAACGGAGAATAACCACAGGACCAATCTGGTTCGCTTTTTTTTTCCCATTGCTTACCAGAAATAAGCCCAACCCCGAACAAATGACCGTGAATTTTCGGCATAACAGGTGACCAGAGACAAAGAATCAGTTGAAATTTATCACACGTCTATGCGGAGCCTAGTTTAAGCTAAGAGAACACTGCGGTATGTTATGTGGTATAAGCACGTGCATACGGATACAATTTAGATAGACACAATCTGCCTCAATATGTGCTCAAATACCATTGTGGAATGAACAGTAAACTCTATTGGCTTAAGATCATTATAATTAGAAACGAAAGGTGGTAATTCCTTTATAAGATTCAAAGACCACTAGCAGTCAGCAATCGTAAACACGAATTAACATTAAATGGACAAAGGGTACCTATACTCTAACTGCCAACTGTTAAGAGACTGAAGTTGATATCTGATATAAATGAAGGCTTTTGAAATTCGAATTTGATTCGATTATTAATAATACACAAATATGAAAACCAGTCTCTAGACAATCCTTTGCAGGTGCTAAAATTTTTGCCACAAAGCATATTGACTTTTACTCCATTACACGATTAATTTATCTGTCGTAGGTATATTTAAAAAAACGTGCAATTTTTCCAACACGATTAATGTCATTACTTCGTCTAACTAACCTGCTGCATGTATGACCGTACTTGGTTTCCACCCACCGGGCCACCTGAGACTTTTGCAAGAGAATAGTCGGTACCTTTAAAAAAGCCATCGGAAGTTTTTTTATTTACCAGAAGAACTACTTTTTGACTTTCTCCATCTTCTAGTTCTACGATGCCACCGTTATGCATGTCATCGATGATCTGACTCAGTTCATCGTGATCATCATGCGAGAAAGGCTCTCAAGTAATGAAACTCTCCTGGACATGCTCGCACTCGGCGAACCCTTGCTCGAGAAGGATCACGATCTACCTCCGAAAGAGCGTTTTATGGCGCACGGCGGAATGGTAAGAGTGGCGAGAGCCGTCTCCGAGAAGAATCTGCGTGAAGGTTGGGTGAAGAAGACGAGGATCTCGAGACCGGACTATCCCCTAGTCATGTGCGGACACGGTCGGGGAGCGGGGCTGGTGTCCTTCATGTCTGTTCTGCTTACAACCCAGTATCGCGAACTAAAAGCCTATGCATTTGAGCCAACTGGTGATCTAATGAAGTAGGTCCAAAAGCAGTACTTTGAAAATTTGATTTGGACAATTAGTGTGTCTGTTGTGGGAGAGTACGATTATTTTTTCCGTCGTATGTCCGTGTCGGAATGTCAGAGCATTCATTTGCAACATTTAACTCTCAACAGCTCTGAACAATAATTTTCATAGACGGGTCAAATAGTAGGATGCATGTGAGTAGCGAACAGTAGCGTGAATTAATATGACACGTCGTTTGGCGCAGAGAGACGTGGGATCACTAAATAAATGGCCAAATTTCTTATAAAGTATTTTGAAATTTCTTAACATAAAACAGCATTTTCCTTTTAATCGGGGACAGGGAGAAAAAGGAATTGCGGGCTAGGTTCTCTCGGTATATAGGGAACTACGCCGTGATCCGGAACAAAAACTTGATTCATAAGGCATTATGTGTCTAAAATATTCATCTCTGCTCTCGGACCGATAGAAAAAGTTTGCACTGAGGGATTTAATCGAATAAGGTCTATTCAATTATGGGAAGGCTAAAAGGCTGAAAGGTAAAAGATCTCGAAGTATTTCAGAACCTTTCGTTAGAGCTATGTCCAAGTAGCAGGAGCAAAAGAAATAACTGGATTGCTGGATTTCAAAAACAAATCCTTTAAAACATAAGAAAAACATTTAAAGAATTGAAAAAGTTGCAAAAGAATGATGCAAATATAATGTGCCTCGTAATGCTCAACGCCAAGTTAGAAGAAAATCGAGACTCCGTCAGTGGAAATATCCTATGAGAAGCGCTAGGGAGCGTGTTGTTCGCAGGAAAACGAGATCATGGCGTGGATTCTAACAAACAGATCGGGACGTAGAGCCTAGGGTGTGCCACATTTTGCGGTTGGGTAAGACTGGCTGACGACGGCTTATAAGAGAGAAATGGCCATTCCAGTCTCCCTTGTCTTTGTCGGTAATATCATGCTGCCAAGAGAATGGGCCGCTGGGCAGCTGTTGGTAAGGCTCGAGACAGATGGAAAGTCCATAAGGGACAAGAGAAAGAGTGAGTTCCGTAAAAAAGGATCGGCGAGCGCCCCCTAGCATTGTATATTCCCCCATCGAAAACCGACAGGGTGACGGACTAGTGGCTCAGTACTTAGAGGCGTGGACATCTAACAAGCATGTCGCGACTTGGGGTCTCGTGTGTACTACACTTCTTTGTTGCGTTTGACAGGCTAAATCAACAAAAAAGCCAGAAATGGCCATTCCAGTCTCCCTTGTCTTTGTCGGTAATATCATCCAGTATATATTTTGCGCCGCTTTGCGTCTGCAGGTGTGGCTCGAGAGATAGGGAATGTCCGTAAGGCACATGGAAATGAGTGACATCCATGACAACTTACAGTGTGCGCACCCTAAAATTGTACATTCCCGAACGAAAACCGATAGGGCGACGGGTTCGTGGCTCTGTGGTTAGAGACGTGGACATCAAACAAATAGGCCACGACTTGTAGCCTCGGTTGTGCCAAACAATTGTTTTAGGTATTACTGGCTGACGACGGCTTAAAAGACAGAAATGGCATTTTCAGTTTCCCTTGTCTTTCTCCGTTATTTAATTCTGTCTGTATATTTCGATGTTCTACGTCTGAATTTTTGGGATCGGAAGAGAGATTCCATGTCACAATGGAACGAGCGAGTTCCGTAAGAACGATCAGTAAGCGCCCCCTAGCATTGTATATTCCCCATCGAAAACCGACAGGGTGACGGTCTAGTGGCTCAGTGGTTAGAGCCGTTGACATCTATCGAACAGGTCGCGACTTGAAGCCTTGAATGTGCCACAAATTAAAGTCGGGTATGACTGTCTGACGACGGCTAATAAGCCAGAAATGGCAATTCTGTTCTCCCTTGACTTTGACGGTAATATCATTCTGCATATAGCATGTGCCGCTGTACGCCTGCTGATTGGGCTCGTGAGAGAGAGAGAGAGAGTCCGTAAGCCACAAGGGAACGAGTTGTATCGTAAGTACGATTAGCGTGTGCCCCCTACATTTGTATATTTACGATCGAAAACCGACAGGGTCACGTGTGCCTGGCTCAGTGGTTAAAGCCGTGGAACTCTAACAAACAGTTCGCGACTTGGAGCCTCGGGTGTGCCAACATACGTTTTTGGCTATTAATGGCTGACGCTGGCTTTTAAGCCGAAATGACCTTTCCAATCTCCCTTATCTTTCTCCGTAATATCATTCTGCCTATACCATGCGACGCTGTGCGGCTGCCGGTTGGGCGCGCGAGAGAGAGTGAGTCCATGAGGCACAATCGAAATAGTGAGTTCTGTAAGAACGATCGGTGAGCGCCCCCTAACCTTGTATATTTTCGATCGAAATCCGACCGGGTAACGGGCTGGTGGCTCAGTGTTTATAGGCGTGGACATCTCACAAACAGGTCGCGACATGGAGCCTGCTGAATGGTGGCACTTGCTTCGCCAAGTTGGATCTCGCTGATGCGTATCTTCAGATCGAGGTCGCCCCAGAGTCGCGCGAATTGTTGACCATCAACACCCACCGCGGTCTGTTCCAATACACCAGGCTGCCCTTTGGTGTCAAGACCGCCCCGGCCCTATTCCAACAAACGATAAACGCAATGCTCTCCGGCATCCCTGGCACAGCTGGGTACCTGGACGACATCATCATCGTGGGTCGCTCCCCTGTCGAGCTGCAAGACCGAGTGTGCGCAGTACTTGAACGCGTGCAGGAATATGACTTTCGTCAACGAGCCGACAAGTGCCAATTCTTTCTCGACTCCATCAAGTAACTTGGATTCGTTTTTGACGTCACTGGTCGCCATCCAGATCCTGAAAACATTCGGGCCATCCAACGGATGCCTGCACCCAAGAATGTATCGAAACTCCGTTCGTTCCTTGGCCTGATCAGTTACTATAGCGCCTTCCTACCATCGTTGCATGACGTACGGGCCCCGCTCAACCGTCTGTTGCAGAAGGGTGCTCCTTGGTGGTGGTCCCCTGACTGTGAAAAGGCCTTCGCCCAGCTAAAGTCGATGCTGAGTTCAGATCTGCTGTTAACGCACTACGACCCGACGCTGCCGATCGTTGTTGCTGCAGATGCTTCCAACCACGGAGTTGGTGCTGCCATCTCACGTACTTTTCATGATAGGTCTGAAAAGGCGATCATGTATGCATCTCGCACGCTAACTCCTGCGGAGAAGAACTACGGGCAAATAGGCAAAGAAGGTCTAGCCCTCGTGTTTGCCGTCAAGAAATTTCACAAACTGCTGTACGGTCGCCACTTCACGTTGTTGACGGATCACAAACCATTGCTGTCAATCTTCGGTTCGAAGAAGGGCATTCCTGTCTACTCAGCCAGCCGACTTCAGTGATGGGCAACCATCCTTCTTGGCTACGATTTCGACATTCGCTACTGTCGTACTACAGACTTTGGTCAGGCTGACGCCCTTTCTTGCCTCATCAGCAATCAGCAGGAACCGGAGGAAGATACCGAGATTGCCGCTATTTCGATTGAGGACGATGTGCGCCGTCAGTTATCAGACACCAAACGAGGTATCCCTGTCACCGCTGCGGACATCCGGCATGCTTCTGAACAGGATCCTGTCCTCCGTCAGGCCATCACCAACGTGCAGACCTGCTGGCCAACCACTGCTCTCTAGTTGGCGATCTTCGCCAACTCTTCCTCCGCCGAGCATCGCTATCTGTGTTTGACTCCTGCCTCATGTTTGCGGACCGCGCGGTGATTCCATCTTCCCTCCGACCAACTGTACTACGCCAGTTCCATGTCCATCCAGAATCCTCGCTCCCCGCCCTACCATCCTCAGTCTAACTGTCAGGCGGAGCGTTTTGTCGACTCTTTAAAGAGGGCCCCTTTGATAGCCCGTGGGGAGGGGACCACGGACGACATAGTCCAGGCGTTCCTGTTTTCCTACACGACAACACCGAACCCGGCGTCCCCTGGTGGCGTTTCTCCTGCCGAAGCGTTGATGGGCCGAAAACTGTGGACAACATTTCATGCACTCGTCCCTACCGGTGCGCATCCCGCGCATACTTCTCCAGTCTCTCGCAGCATGCTCTCCATCGGAACACCTGTCTTCGTTCGTGATTATCGAGCGGGGTTCCCAGACTGGATTGAAGCAACCGTAGTAGCGGACAGAGGCAGTATGTTGTTTGACGTCGACGTTGGTGATGACATCTGGGTTCGCCACCACAACCAGATCCGACAGCGACACTGCAGTAACACAAATGGGCTTGAGTCGGAGCCGTCACTCTCCCTTGACATCGTACTGGATATCTTCGCCATTCCGGCAGATCAGTCGGTTCCCGAACCCAGTTCTGCGCCCCCTTCGGATATACCATCTTCGGTATCAGTTACCGCTCACATATCTCCAGGCATTTAACCACGACAAGCGTCGAGTGCGCATACACTCCACAGGATTTCACGTACCAGGCGGGGTCATAACAGTGCACTAATTTATTTGGTGTTTCTTCAATGTCTTTAAACGAGTTCAGACTAATTCCTGATGAAAGATATTTGTGTTAAGGGCACTTGACTTGGACTGTCCAGTTTCTTTTATTTTGGTTTTTGTTGTTTCATACATCGGCATGAAAAATCTCTAGGGTAACCATTTTGGGAAAACAGTTCAACCAGACAGTTTAGATCGACCCGGTAGCTTTTTTCGCTAGAGAAACGTGTTCATACTCAATGTAACGGACCGTTGACAGCACACCACCTGTGAAAGATTGGGGTGTCGCTCTCTTATTTGTATACATAAACGCAAATAACACTACCGACGAAAATAAGGGAGACTGAAATGACCATTTCTGACCAATAAGCCGTTGTCAGACAGTCGTGCCTAACTGCGTAGAGTGTAACACCTGGGGTTTGATCCCGAGACCTGTTGGTTAGAGGTCCAACGGCTCTAAGCATTGAGTCACGAAATCGTTGTCCTATCGGTTGCGATCGGTTATATTCAACGCGACTGTCGGTTGGGCTCGAGATATAACCCCAAGGCACAGCGAGACGTTTGATTACCGTGACACGATCGGTGAGCGCCCTTCTACCAATATATATGTATATAGGCAGAATGGTATTGCCGACAAAGACAAAAGAGACTGGAATGGCCATTTCTGGCTTATTAGCCGTCGTCAGCCAGCCATACCCAAGCCTGAAGTGTGGAACACCCGAACCTCGAACTCGCGACCTGTTGGTTTAGAAGTCAACGCCTCTACTCACCGGGCCACGAGCCCGTGGCCTTGTCGGTTTTCGATCGGGAATATACAATGTTAGGGGGCGCTCACCGATCGTTCATACGGAACTCACTCGTTCCG